GGGAAAGAAGGATTTCAAGGACTGAATGGAGCAGACTATTTAACAGCAGCTCCCCTGACTGCTGCCTCACGCTGGCTTAGAAATTTGACATCAACAACTTCACTAGTGTCCACAACCTTCTTACTGCAGAGTGCAAAGAGCTCAAGTTATGCTCTGAAGTTTCTGCTGCTTCACATTTAATGCACAGTTTAAAAACACCTCTTTTAAATTTATCTGTGATTTGAAAATCTGCTGCTTTCAATAATCTGTGTTGCATGTATGCTACGAACAGGTTATGACAGAAGTTCCCACTTTACCTTCTGGCCTGCTTTAATCCACCATTTTGTCTGACAGCACTGCACAGGCAGCTCTGAGCACTCTACGCAGAGTATTTTCACCAGGTGAATCACAGGAGCTCACCAGAAGCCCTCCGAAGGCAAGGCAAGCCTGTGTGTGAAGGGGCAGGGAAAGGCCTTGCTGAGCAGCTGTTGGGCTGCTGGGGAAAGAATGTGCAGAGGAAGAGCTGAAAATGCCTGCAAACACTCCAGACTGTCCCACCAGAACACAGGGGAACTCCCAAGGACACATTTTCTCCCCAGTGCTTGAAAACAGCTCTCTCACAATGGATTTGTCAAGCCTGCTCTAAGCACCACCACATGCTCACACCGTGACAAGCCATCCTGAGTGACACGCTGGGCCACTCCTGCTGGATTTTCAGCTTCCCCGGAACAGGCATCAATGATCTCATCTCCCACAGATCATCACCTCGTGAACGAGCTGGTTCAGTAGGCCAAGGGCCGAGGGAACCCCAACCTGCACAGGGCACCGTGCCCCACACCAGCCCTGCTCTGCTCTCAGGGGATGAGCCAATAAAATCCACCTACTTCCAGCCCTTAACCGGATTACAGAGCCCGCCCCGCCGGGCTGTAACAGCACAGGCTCCACAGCACACGGCTCTGGAGCCAGCACGGACGAGGAACCCCCTCCCACAGCAGGTCCCACCCGCCCAGTCTGCATTCCCAGCATCTCACATCAGATCAGTTTCTCCTGTTCGCTTTTAGCCGTGCATCTATCATGAGCTTTCCACAGGAAGAGTAACAGCTCGTGAACTGTAAAGCTTACAGGGAACAAAGCTTACTGGGACCAATAGGAACACACAGGACATCCCCACTCACAGCTCACTTTGCTCTTTCTAAGACCATTTCAACACTACTCAGGGCTCCTGCACAGACAACACTATACAAACCCAACACTCAAGCCCACATGTAAGAACTGGAAACATTCACTTAAGCAGAATAAGCTGGTCTAGTTTCTTCCTTTCATTTCTGCAGGTACATCTGATTATTAAAACCTGAAACTCATGTTTATGCATATAAACCAACAATTTACCAGACATCTATTTCTGACATGCCCTCTCCAGCTTTGCTCTGCAAACCACGGGGGATCCTTGCCTTTTCACACGAACACACCCTTAGGAAAGCTTCAATAAGCATCTGTGTCACTAATACAGAATTTTAAATTCAGTATTTTATCTATTTATAATTTTATGTTCGTTTCACAAGGGTCAAAGTGCAACACTACCCAGAGGGCCCAGGATAATCCTTGTTTAACTTCACCTTTAGAAAACACCACACTGAACAGCACCTAGTGAGGAAATCCTTCTCCTTCCCTGGACTCTGTATGCAAACACAGTCACACACAGTCAGTCTGGTGTGATGTATGTTTCAGTAACACTTTATGAGGTGACATTTATGAGCGCAGGTTTTTCTTCTAAAACCTTGCTTTCAGTTCACCTGCTACAACAGACTCCACGCGTGTGGGCTACTCAGGAGCACTTCTCTTTCCAGGGCTCCATCCCTGTTTTCCAGGCTGATGGCAGCGTCCTGCCAGTGACGTCAGCCAGATCACAGCTCTGGATCTGGGAGGCTCAAAGGGCACCAGCACTGGGGACACAGCTCACACCCTGCCCAGCACAGACCTTCAACCACAGCAAACTCATTCTGCGAAAGCTTTTGATAATTCTATTCAGCACTACTAGAGAAATTCAAGGCTTCTGAACTGTCTCTCCTCATGTTTCTCACCAACCCAAACAGCACCCCGAGGCCTCCACACTGTGCTGGGAAGTCTCTTCATTCTACTGAAAACAACTGGAGTGTCTGTAAATAAACGGAGGCCCTAAGTCCCCTCAAAGGGCAAGGCTGAAGTGTCAGAGCATTCTGTTCAGGTTTGAAGAGCTGAAAGGGGGAGAGGAGAAACCACTAGTACACACGTCAAAGAAGAGACTTCAAAGTGACACAGAACCACGGGAAAATAAAATGAAAAGGTTTAACACTGAAGAGATGAAAATACAATCGGTTTTATTTCTGAAGAGTCACATCCCAAAGCCTTTAATCACATCCAAACTTACCCAGACGGCAGATTGCCAAACTGAAGCATCACAACAACACAACCCCACACTCACCTCTCAGAGTCAAACACCATTTATCAGACCAAAAACAATTTATGGCTTTCCAAAGAACATTTTTTACATATGTTAACTGTAAATTTTCTGCCATAAAACTTCAGGGTTGCCCTGACATGGTAAACACACAGAGCCAGAAGGCTTCAGACAGAGTTAGACATGAGTGATGAAATGATGCTCAACATCATCTGCATGAACCTGGAGACCGTTCAGAAAAGGAATTCCTGAGGAATTCCAACACAGGGAAGGCTCTTGGGCAAGAGGCTTTAAAGGTCTGCAGAACACGCCTCTGACACACTCAAGGCAAATTGTTGCCTCTAAGCAGTTCCTGCAAGGAGCACACAAACAGCTGTCAAGGAAGGGAGTGAGAGAGGATTGAGACAAAAATAAGTCACCAAAACCAGTTTTGGTTTTTGTACAAATTAGCCCGTTCTATTCCTATCACTTTCAGACTTCTCTGCCAGACTCCGAAGAAATCAAAGCAAAGAAATCTGGCAACTCTGTTATGATAAGATATCCTCCATAACATGCATGATACTATAACATATCCCCCACAACACACAGGTTATGAAATTATATCCTCCATTGCATGTATGTCAGACGACACACCCTCCCTAACACGTATATTAGATAAAATACCCTGTATGGCATATGTGTTATTGTCCCACATCCTCTGCCACACACGTTACCAACAGCCTCCATAACATATGTTACGACCACAAATCCTCCACAACATATATGACGGGTAAAACATTCTCCACAACCTCCGAGAGACGCTATCAGACATCCTTCCCCATTTCCTCACCATTTTACCTAGAACAACTCCAGGAAACCTAAACTTTCTCAGCACCGCGTGTCGCGCACCGACGGCGTCCTGTGTTACCCCTCCTGCGGCACAGAGACGGCCTCGGCAGAGAACAGCAGCCGCCAAAGAACAGCCCCAGCCCCGGGAGCAGCCCCACGCACCTTCTTTGGTCTGCGCGTTGGTGATCTGCAGGTCGCAGTCGGCAGCCTTCAGCTTCTCTCGGCCCATGATCTGGCGTTTGAGGTCGCTCAAAGAGATGTGCAGCCCGTCGAAGGTGACCGTGTCATAGTTGAGCTTGGAGGAGAACTTGTAGTGCACGCACGACATGGCGGGGCGCGGGCTGGGCGGCTCG